CAACCAAATTTGGTAGATCTTTTTTTACGCCTACATTGTGGAGGAGAAAAAAGAATGTAGAGGGCTAGAAAAATCGAATATCAGAGTTGGAAAATCCTGCCTAATGTGCAATGTCCGTACAGTTGCTGTACAATAAATCGTCAATCTTGGCTGGTTGGCAGAGTATAATTTGATGTCAGTAAAACCACTAGATGAAGAATGAATGGTTTTAATTTCATTCATAATGACACAAGATTACAATGCTTCTTCAAGAACTGACTCCGTTCTTGGTAATTACTACGGCACTAGTTTGAATAACCAGAACTGATATTGGCGAGTGAAAGTGCAGATGATTGATTTTATGTAAATAGAAATCATTTGTCGTTAAAAGGTGTCAATTCATAAGAAATGCAAATTTGTTTCAGTGGGAACTTATTCTCTATATAATGTAAGCAATTACTCTCTTTAGTAGATCGATAAGTACAATTTACATGTGATAACATAATATAAAATTGTACACTGTAGTTTCAGAATGGCTTTTCACTGCCTTCATGTGTCCATTCAGAAGTAATATACAAAGGTTGACCGAAGGTCACTCAGCGGGTAGTTCTTGGTTGGCCCTTGCAAGTCTCGTAAGATCCCGCCTGTCACCCTCGCAAGTCTCGTAGGATCTCGCCTGTCACCCCGCGAGAGATTAGTTAGCTGTAACTGGCGTGAAGGTGTGATCTTTGTCGTGCTGTGTGTCCCAGAGCTGGAATTTTTCCCGGAAACCAAGAGTTGTAAATGACAACGCTAATGATTAATTCCAACATACAGAAAATGAAGGGGAAAAAAAGAAGTTGGTGACGAGGCGCTTCAGCAATGATACTGAGCCGGGTCATGTCCCCTATTTATCCAGATAATGTAGTAGTTTCAATGAAAGCTAATATTTATCACTATAGCAAAATACATAAATGTTATACCAGAGATTTTGTAATACCATGCTAAGAATAGCATGTTGATATAATATAGTATGAAGTATAAGTGCGTTGCAGTGGAAACTGCAGGCGAAAACGCACCACTGGACCACAGGGACTTGAGACAATCTTCGCAAAATCGGGTATATAGTATAATAGGGGAGAAGGGACCTAACGAGCCACCATTAATTCCTCGGTGCCTCGCTTCAAACTCTAAAAACTTCGATTTTTATCCAAAAAAAAACCATGAAAAAGTTTTGCCAGTCGAAAGGCAGAATGTTGTCCTTTATTGTCATAAATTGATCATTTACCTTACTTCATTAAAACTTAGAAAAAAAATATTCGAACTTCCGAGAATTGGGTCGCCATCGTTAACCCTACACCATTTTTTCCATGCAATTTTCGTGCATTACCTTAATTTTTCCGCACTTGTCATCTGTTGCACTCTATCTTAGAGCAACGTTTAAAATATAACTGCTTTTGGTCATCCTCAAAATATTTGAGGGACCGTTGATCGTCCGTCTCGAGAGATCAGCTCCATTTTCACCTTCGATTAGCCTCTGAGTTCAATCGGGTCAACCATATTGAATGAAGTCCGCACTGAATGACTAAAGTTTAAACGGTGAAAGACGATTGGATAATATTACTAGTTGCTTACGGAATCAAATATGGCTGACCCGATTGAACTCTGAGGCTGATCGAAGGTGAAAATGAAGCTGATCTCTCTGAGTTTTTAGAGTTTGAAGCGAGGCACCGAGGAATTAATGGCGGCTCGTTAGGTCCCTTCTCTCCTATTATACTATATACCCGATTTTGCTATAAAGATTTTCTAAGTCCCTATGCACTGGACTATCGCGTGCGAAATACGGGTTTATCCAATGGTTATACCAGTTAGTCGATCCATTAAAACACTCGGCATTTGAAAGGATGTTCAGGAGATTAAATGAAATATTCGCTCAGATGCAGGCACGTAGCAACTGTTTCAAAAAGGGGGTGGGCAACTTCCAAAATTATCTGACAAGCAAAAAAAAATAATAAAAACTAATTTACCATCCAAATACTTGAATTTACCAGTGCTTGACCTTACAACATCAAAAAAGGGAGGGCAAACAGCATCTAAAGAAAAATACTATACATGTATACTCAGAAAAAGTGGGGGCCTCCCCCCCCCCCCCCCCCCCGCGTTCTACGGGCCTGCCCATGTGACCAAGACATTTGTTTGTAACATTGAAATTACATTATTATTTTTATTTATTTATTTTATTTCATTTTATTATTTTTATTTAAAAAAAATGTTTATTAATTATTTATTTATTTTTATATATTATTATTATTATTTGTTATTAATCGCTAAAACAAATAATAGAAAGATTTGGTTTAAAAAATGATTACGAACAGAATGCGTCAATCCATCTCTCATCAACGTGTAATTTTTTTTTATATTCATGCGAAGAATCGCACGTTTTCAAGATATTCAACTTTTAAGATTCCGAAAAAAATATTTTTTTTAGGTTCTTCATTAGTTAATCCTAACTCTATTGACCATCCGTCATATTCTACAGACAAGAGACGTGCCATTGCGATATTATTTATTGTTTAATATGTACTGTACCAGGGCTTATAAACCACTCTCTCTAACAAGTCGAGACGTGACACTACAAAACTGTATCAAGGTAACTATACTTCCTTGTGGTAGAGTATTGTCCGATAGTCAGTAAACATGACAATTCTCTAAGCAAGCTGAATATTAATGAGATCTGTAGGAACAGGGGGATAAATATTGTATATTATACCCTTTTCTTATTAAATAAACAAAATTGTTATTCATCCTTGTGAAACGGAACCATTCATAAGAACAAGAGCAATAAAAGCTATATATTGTACTAAATCCTGAAACAAAAAAGAAAACTTCTCCCCAGTTGGTTAAAAAATGTAATAGTGGTCCCTAGATGAATAAACTCCGCGCGAACTACTGTGATTTACCGCTATAAACTATGTATAATGATGTATTTTTATGTTGAAAGGAGTTGCTAGTAAAAGTCATTTGAGAACTACAGGGAATGCAAAGGCTTACAAGTTAATCAAACTAAGCAACATATTTTTTGCCTACTGAGGTTCCCGGAGCGAGTTTCGAGGCGTGACCCTTGTTTAATGGTGATTGAACCATTGAGTGTAAATGAAATATTCCAGGCTTGGAATAAAGGGAATTCCACATCGTCCAAAATAGTTGTTTTCTTCGGTATAAATGGACGTTTTATGGAATATAAATTCTGCGCTCTCAGTGAGATTGCTCATTTAAGGAGGAATCCAATTCTGCGACTGGACTGGAAGAGGACCCATCTCTGAACTATCGGAGTGGCATTCTGGTCGGCAGTGTATTGCTAACTTACTTTTCAATTACCAAACACACAAACAGGGATAGAGATAACAGGTTTTTTTTTTCTTGTATCAGTACAATAGTATTCAGTATGTATGTGTATGAGAGATTAGGAATCAAGTCTATGAAAACAATAGGTTGATTAATAAAATAAGATAACCCCCACCTTTCAATAATTACAGGTAATAGACACGAAAAAGTCATAACGTCTGTCTCATTCCACTAATGTATGAAATTGACTCTCTCATAATGTGTGATTGATTTGTGTGATTTCTGTCCCCGAACCTAGAAAATAATAACATGTTTGATTATTACCGTCTTCCAAGGAAGACAGAATTTCAGAGTTGAAGTATTATACAGAATTCGGACTATGTTTTTTATGTATGATATGAAATGCATGATTGAAAACTTTCATTTATTTCATTGGTTAAAACGCTAGATCTAATTTTCTTATGACTTGCCAATTTTAAAAGTTTTTCAATCTTTCAAAAAAAAAAATCGAGAAAAACAACGAAAAAATAACAGTACTGTACACTTACACTCAAATCTTTTTTAGCAACTACTAAAAAAGCGTGTCTATATTTTTATAGTTGTTAGGTAAGTTCTTTTTGTTAATTTATTTACTTTTTGCATACAAGTATTACAATTTGTGTTTTATTGTTCTCCCTCTCCCCCACCCTCTCTCGCTTTTTTTTTTCTGTGGTTGGGCTGATGTCAGTGCAGGAATACATAGCCAAGAATACTAACAATACGGCCATATATGTGTGTGTCAGTTTACTGTTAAAGGTTTTTTTTCTGGAAGACGGCAAAACTTTAGGAAAAACTACTTGTAATACCCTTCCTCTAGGCTGCATAACGTCAACTGTATTACGCCGCAAAAATAGTACGTAACGAAACAAAAACAAAAAGATCTCTCACCAGTTTATCAATGATTTAAATTCCTCCATCTTCAATGCATTCATCTGTATAGGACAGAATACAAAGTGTGAGATATGAACGTGATAAGTGCATGTCTAATTTGTTTGAAAAAGAAGTGAATACACGACAAAAACGTGAATATGTCTATTGTTGTTGGCCAACCTGGTTGTAATGTCTGTCCAATGCATTCACTACCTGAACGTTCACCTCCCGTTTGTAGAAAGAAATGTCAAGCTTTGTTTCTTTTAAGAAATAAATATTTCGTATTTATTTCAGTCAGCAGGTCTTTTGATGACAGAAGAGCCTTTAATAGTGCCATTAGACGCCAAGACCGCCATCTGCATTCTCTTCATGGCTTTTGATGGCAGATTTTAAACATAAGGCCCTCTTTATCGTTAGTGTCTTGGAATAATGGTTGCCATGGAATAAAATTGATAGAAAATTTATAAACAACGAAGTAGAATGATTTAACTGCGGCGCGTCTGCTAATTACAGGGAGAAACCCACTTTGTCAAACAGTACTTTTATTTATAAAAATTTTAATTTCTTATGATTTTCACTGGTGAATGTTTGTAATTTACTGCCTGTACGGTTTATTTTTGGTACTTTAATCACTTAACCATAGCAGAGTCGAATTAAGGTACTCATTTACGCCTTTCATAACTACAGTGTGTTTTGCAGATGCTGAATATTTTAAGTATTGTCATTGTAATGTGAATATTAGTTTTAGTCCCTTGAAGTAATCAATCATTTTATCTTTTTCTCCCCAGAAAAATGCAGTGAAAAAACAATGTGTACACAGTGTTGGCAAAGCAAAAGTTGTTAAAATCAAGGTAAGAGTAAAAATAACTTATCACTTGAAGGATCTGCAACAGAAAATAGCATTGGTAGAGTGCAATACTTTTTTTTTTATTAGGTTTAGGGGGTTTTTGAATGTTCTTAAGTGAATACTATGACCCGACTGATTAAAAGTGGTTTTGTAGTCTGAGTTTTCAGACATTAAAGATGTAGACACTTCGTATCATCCCCCGAGTGGAATATTCGAACACGTGTTTGAGAGATATCGGGATGATTGCCCAGAATTTTACCTTTTACCTAATAAATTTAATCCGATAAAATCTCGCCTTATCAACCTTCAATCAGCATCGAGCAGTTGTTGTAGATAGCATTTGGGGCCAAGAGAAACCGCAACGGTGCCAAGAGTGAAAGACTCGCCAAAACAGCGCAGCCACGTGCTGTAACCGAACCATTCATAATTATGTTTTTAGACAATTAAGATATTCTTTTTAAATTGAGTTGTTGTCAAGCCTTGTAGATAAGAAGCAGGTTTAAGATGTTTGAGGTAAAAATAATCACTTGCTCGGGAAATGGACACTTTCCAGCCCACTGTACAACTATTAGGCCAGTGCTGTTTTCGTTAATGGCACCGTAAAGGCTTTACGCCGATATCAAATAAAAGGAGAAAGGAATAGATGTTAAGGACATCATACTGTATAAACTTGTAGTCTATTGGTTATTTTACAAACTTGTAGTCTATTGGTTATTTTACAAACTTGTAATCTAATGGTTATTTTACAAACTTGTAATCTATTGGTTAATTTTTCCTAAACCTACCACCTTCATTTATGATATTGGTTTAATTTTCCTAAACCTACCGCCTTCATTTATGGTGTTGGTTTGAATTTTTCTAAACCTACCACCATCATATATGGTGTTGGTTTGAATTTTCTTAAACCTACCGCCTTTATTTATGATATTGGTTTTAATTTTTCTAAACCCACCGCCATCATTTCTGGTGTTGGTTTGAATTTTCCTAAACCCACCGCTTTATTTATGGTATTGGTTTGAATTTTTGTCATTTCTGGTGTTGGTTTGAATTTTCCTATCTTGTTTTTATGTACATTTTAGAATGTGAAAGATTTGTAGAAAAAGAACATTTCTATTGTCATGTTTTATTTTCAATTTTTTTTTATGTCGAGTCTCACCTTCTAGATAAAATATATATATATATATATATAATGTATGCATACCTGACGGAAATACGGCAGGTTGTTTTACTGCTGACCCGTGTTTGAGAAAGGGAGATAATGTGTATATAAGGGAAATCTTTACGTGTATCTGCCTCCATGAGGCCGATTCCTATGTCTGATTGTCCGTGCATGGCTTTATCTATTGATGTAACAGTCCAAGAAAATGATGAGAAGAACTTATTAACAGCCTGCTGATAGCATCGGAGCGACACTGCCAAAACATGCAAGAGAAATGTGCCAATGTAATGTTGTGTAGATGTTCACGAGCAGTTTCCCACGCTTTCTCCTGGCAGCCGTTCAGGTTATTACAGCAAGCCGCTGGAAACAGACATAAACCCCCGAATTTTGACAATCCTACCGCGTGCAATTAATTAATATAATCAACAGCGCTTTGCTTATTTTTTTTTTTCTGAGGAAAACGGTTTGATTTATTGTAAGTATTTTAAAGTCTTTGCGCTGATGTTGTGGAAGCTCTTTGGTTTATTACTCAATCAGTTTCACACGGTGTCTAAACCCGACCAGAGTGCAGTGCGAATAAAAATATATCTATTCATCTAAAATAGTTTTAAATAAGTATAATCTGTAGACAATAGTTTACCCCTCAAAAAAAATTTCAGAGATGTCGACATATTTTCTCGTATTCATTTTTTACATGCATATATTTCACCCGTATGGGTCTAGCAAATACAAATTACAATTTTATTTATACAGTATATTTATATGAAATTTAAAACCTTTTTACCGATATGGGCCTTAGCAGATGCGCAGTTGATACTTTTTAGCCGGGCTTTGCTGAAAGCAAAGTCCTGGCTGTAGGCATCGTGATCGACTGCCTTACTATAAATAGCACATGTTCAGAAAAGTAAACAAAAAGCCTAACAGCGTCAAAGCAGACGCTTCCGATAAACAAAATAGTCACATTGAAAGACGATACTTAAACAAATATTTTTTTTACATCTCAATCTACGGAATTGTTAATTGATCAATATTTTTGTTTGAGAATTAAATTGAAAGAGGAATTAGATATTTACTTTATTATTATCGTGATATAACAATTTGTGCACATACGCTACTGAATGCATATTGTAAGCGAACTATTTTCAATAAGCGCGGGCTTTTCGACAGGTTGCCTATATTTCATATCGTTTTCGTCGATGTTATGTGAGTGGTTATATTCTCTGTTTTGTCTTTCAGCAAATAAATAGATAAGTAAATTGGAGTTTAAAGAATTAATTAATGTGCGTTATGCCTGAATTAGGTCGCCTGACAATTGTACATGGTGTATCTGGTGTATCTAGTCGGCGATAAAAGTAGTGTTTGTTTGAAACTTTAAGAATATCTCTAAAAATATGTGCATTTCTTTAACTATGAATTACATAAATTATTAAACCAATATGAATTTATTTTTTTTTTAAATTAAATTCTAATTCAAATCTATCTAAAGAAAAATCAGCAAACCATATGGTTCAACATTCTTTTTAAAAAAAGTTTGGCAATTGACAGACAAACATTTTTTGTAAAAAATTAATTGTTTTCTTAAAAGTTAAAATTAGTGACCTTAAATGTTTAAATTAGTGAAATTAAATAAAACAAATGACTTATATATTCCCCTCACTAGCCATATGTTATTGGTAGAATTAAAAAAAATTGTATGACATTTTTTGTTCGTTTACTGATATTATAGTTTAATTAGTCTGACCTATATTTATTTACGTCCGTGATGCATGTATAAACAGTAAGCCCACTGACAATGTCGTGATATCTGTAATTTTTTTTAAGATCAGTATAGCATTAAGGTGTCTTGAATGGCAAGAAATTTAATGTAATAATAAATTTTAAAAACATCGGTGGTCATTTATTAGATGTAATTTGGTACGATACCGTGTTAATTCCTGCTGATATTTTCAGGGTTGATCTTGTGAAAACGGCTTAACAGGAGACAATTTATTAAATTTTTCCTTTCAAAATAATTGCAAAAAGATGATGATTTTATGATTATATTAACGGCATAAAATAACAGCGAACACCGACTACTTGCAGCAAACAAGTGCGCCGCCATTACGAATTCGTAAAACAAAGAGACAGTTACGGATACTCGTAATTTTCTGAAAAAAAATGTGTAGGAGGTCAGTCGGGTATAACCGGAAACAAACAATTTTTTTTTTAGCCTAATGATGTATGTATGTAAATATTCACGAAGATTAATCTTACAGTTGTAATACTGGTAATGCTGAAATGTTTTCAATATATTACTACTCAAATAAAAAAGTTAAAATTTGAATGCGTTTAAAGAAAAGGGTTTGAAAATACGGTATTACTTCGATAACCCTGAATGCAATTAAATTAACTTTCTCCTTTCTAATAAATAATTTCGAACAGAAATCCTTATGATGGTTAAGATCTTGTGTTTGTTTGTTTGTATGTTGTTTAACGTCCCTCACTCATTCATATGGAGACACTACCACTTGCCGGTGGAGAGTTCCAAATTTTGTCCTATACTCGGCACTTACGGCCGTTGAGCAGTGAGGGATCTTTTTCGTGCAAGCACCTATTGCGACACGGGCCCTTGGTTTATACGGTCTCAACGGAAGTACCGGTCTCCACGTCCCACAGTGGGATTCGAACCCGCGACGTAAGGATTAACTCCTTACTTCGCGACTCTAGAGCAGACGCTCTTACCACTGCGCCACGCGGGCGACTAAGATCTTGTGTAAAGGTGATGTAAATGAAGTTCAAAACTATTTGTTTTCTTTCATAATATGAAATAAACAATGCGATTCCATTTGGTTAATATTTTAATTTAATAGTATTAATTTAAATGACTGGGATAAAGATTTATATTCTGTGAAGCATGGAATATAAATAAATAAAAACGTAAACTTTAAGATAGAAATTTCATGTGAATATGTTTATGTATAATATAAAAATTATTTATACCCATTTAACAATCAATTTAGCGTCGAAAATTTTTATGCTTACAAATTCATATCAAATTTTTAGTGAAAAGTCAATGGTATGTCACCTTGGATTCATCTCGCATGTGCTCCCAAAGCGCTTTACAGTATATTGAGCGTGTGCGCGCATTCCAAAAAAAATGGTCTTAAAACACACGCAAGCTCTCAAGGGTGCTGGGAAATAAAAATCGTTTATGTTAATATATAATTAAAAGAAAACAACATATAAAAATGTTCATTAGTCTTTATCTAAGTACAACACATTATAATTTTTCAGAAAAAGTTGGTTAGTCTTTGCTTCAAAACTTCCTGTTCAGAATGAAGAGCCATCTATGTACGAGCCATAAAGACCTGAATACATCATGATTTTCTCAGGCAATGACCATTATGGCCGAACCTGGAACTAGAACTAGACTCATATTCATGTCATAAAGATTAGATAATTATAATTTTCGTGCAGCTGGTTTCCTAGAGGACCAAAAATAAAGAATATTTCTTTTCTGATTAATACAGGCATGTAGTATCATTATCAGAAAAAAGGAGAATTGTCCAAACCCGAAAATCCTATTCCGTTGGAGAAGGAGTAGGGGTGGGCTACAACTTACTTTCACATTTCGAATTTCATTAATTCATTACCAAATTACCGTACTTTTAATATGCTACAATAAAATGATGGGTACAATCTAATCAAAATTAGACTATCCATTTTGCTTTTAGTAAATCTGTTCGTCGCTCGTGACAAATACCTGGTTTATATTACGAAGAGTGAGTTGAAAGTTCCAATTTAAATTTGATTGCGAAGAGTCAATCAACCTTTCAATGTACATTGTCCATTGTAAAAGTTTATGT